CATAACTGCTCTTTTGTAGAGGACTGGAAAAGTGCCTCTGTCTGCTGAATTCAACTGCAGACGTGTAAAAGGATACCTACACTCACACTCGTTACAGTTTAGATGAAGAGGCTGGTCGTTGATGCTGCGTCTGATGGGCTATCAGACAGCACTAATCACCAGCCACTTGTGCTTAACACAGCACGAGAATGGATATCATTATGGATCTTTTATTGAACTTGATTTATATACTCATGTTTTAATTATAACTCTAGTCAGTACTGTTTTTTTGTTTTGTTTTTTTTTTTGCATTAAAATAACAGTAAACCATGTATAATGATTTAAAGGGCCAGATGATCCTGGGGTAGAATTTAAATCATTGTCCATTGAGTCGAAGCAATCAACAGATTTTCATTCCAACCAGATGAATTCACTAACTAAAGTTAGAATGATCTGAAGGCAGCTGCTGCCATGGATGTTCAGGATGAAAACAGTTAAAATACATTTGTCTTAACCTTGACTACTGCCACCACATATGTTTAAATGAAATACAGCATACAGAAAGATTTACTATGTGACAACTATGCAAATGCATTGATTTATTATTACGCTACATTATACTGCTTCATCACTCATGGTGTGGTATGCAGTGGCAAAATGTGCAGTGTGCATACAAAGGCAAAGATGTGTAATGCACTGACAATATTGTGTTTTGCTGACCATGTTGTGTGATCCTGAGCTGCCAATTTAAGTTGTATTGTATTAACTCAGTGGCTATGATGTCATGTATTGTCCAAACACGCCATGTACTGACCATACTTTCCTACAGAACGCCACCACACCTACAGGAAAGACCTATTTCAGACATACACCTTAAAATACTGTCATACAATACTGATCTAATATTTATGCTGCGTCATGCACAGTCAACACATGTTCTGCTATGCTCTAATGCTATATCATGGAATGAAGAAAACCCTCGTCACTGCGCGACGACGTGCGAACAGATTGCTGCCTCATAACAACTTTGTGTGCTGAGAGAAGGGGAAACATGCACATGTGATAGATAGCATCTTGGCACGGCGTTGCTGCAGCATTGCTGCTGCTGCCGCTGATGGCTTTTCAATATAGCATTGCAGTAATTTTCCATAAGCCTGTGTGACTAATGGCGTAAACAATGGAGCCGAATGTTCACGTTATGGGTCCATTATAGAACTATCAGGGCAGGCATGTAAAGACGGATGCCTTTGATCAGCGCTCTATTGTAGAAGCCAGGTGCGGGGAGGAGGATTTGCGTCTTTAAGTGTGTCTTAAGTGTGTGTGTGTGTGTGAGAGAAAAGAGAGGGGAAGAGAGGAAGAATGGAGTGAAATAAAGAGATGGAGTAGTAATAAAGACAGAAACAGGAGAAAAGAAAATTGAACAGGCGAGAGGGTAAGAGCAGTGAAGAAAGAGACAGAGAAAACCCACCAAAGTGTTTTGTTTTTACAGACCATTGGCAAAGCAATGAATTGCTTAAATGATTCCCAGTCTATTTGTGCAGCCACCCAAAGTATCTCATTTGCCTCTGATGCCTTTTTCCCTACACAGCATAATGACCCAAGCTGGTGACGACATGCAGCAGTTACCTCAATCAGCCAATGGGGTTTCCCGGCTATCACGGGCTGCCTTGGATGCTGAAGGGAGCAGTCAAGAGTCAACAAGTTAGACACAAGAGCCCCTTAGATAGAGACCACCTACTGACAAGAAGTCAATACAGGGATGTGATGGGGGACATCTGAGCCAAAAAAATAGAGTGAGGTGGCCAAATGTTCAAACATGAGGAGTCAAGGGGTGTAAAAGTCATGGCTGATGGGTTAAAGAAACACAAATGCACCTGAACATGAACTGACTTTATAATGAATCAAGCAGAAATGAGCTTTGCTGCACCAAAAAAAAAAAAAAATGTGGAGTGAGTGAAAGTATTAGCCACCCACATGCTTGAAAGCCGAACACAACAATCCAGAGTGTCACCCAACTAATGACAGCCTCTAGTGGGCTGCTGTAAAAACGTGGGTGATTTTTGGGTCATTGGAGCGATTTCAAGAAGTGAGTGCTTTTTCCACTTCAGTTGTTGCATTTTGTCTGCCGCGTAACCCTCGACACAGCTCTCTCTCTCTCTCTCTCTCTCTCTCTCTCTCTCTCTCTCTCTCTCTCTCTCTTCTCTCTCTCTCTCTCTCTCTCTCTCTCTCTCTCTCTCTCTCTCTCTCTCTCTCTCTCTCTCTCTCAGGATGAGTCATGCCATGCCAACCTCAAAAAACCCCCAGCTGGAGTGCTGGCAAAACCTCCAGACTAAAGCTGCATACATATTATATCCCTTTTTTTTTTTTACTAATTGCACTTCTATTTTGCATCTCTGCACAGTTGAGTTGAGAAGTTGTAAAATGATAATGGAAATAAAAATCAACAGATTTCCATTAAGCCATATGAATCCCGAAGCATGTGACCTCAACTGAAACCTATTTTCTTCTTTGAACTCCCATCATTAACACCAACTTCAACTACAGAGAGACAATAGAGTCGATAATCAATACGATAAGTGGCATGAACACAGTCTGTTTACAGTGTGCCATCTTGTTTTTACCCGTGTATCTTTGCATTCTGTTACCACGCAAGTTGTCATGAATCAGCATGACTTCAACATTTCTCTCTGGCAGGAGATTCTACTTCACTGAATGTCTGGCAACCTTAGAACAGATGAAATGGTTACTTGGTTAATCTGAAACAAGTTTGATCAACAAATGAACATTAACTAATTTATCGAAAGGTGAGGATGTATTTCACTTTCATGTTTCAATTGAGTGATGTTATGTGAATAAAGCTGGGTTTTCTCCTCTGGTTATATCATTCAGGCCTTCCTCTCAACATCCAATTCTCTCTTCATCTACTGGAAATCTATCTATTACGTGAAAACGGATGCTCGTCCATTAAAAGCCGCCGTGTTCTGCCCGACGCACACCCTGCATCTAAAGCTCTACGCCAACATGGTGCCTGTGTTGCCGGTGCTGCTGCTGTTGTTGTTATTGTTGTTGGCGGCGAGATGTTTAAAATGAGGCGCCTGACAACAGATAACATCTGAAAGGCATTGAATCCATTATGGTGGTTGATGTTCCGGGAAAGGGTGAGGAGAGGAGCGGCTCATCTCGAGGTTTGGAAGTTAGAAGGGCAGGAAAGGAGGGAGAGTGAGAGGAGAACAAAAAATAAAGGGGGGGGTGGGGGGTGGGGCAGCTTGACCATGGTGCATTTCCTCAATCTAGCTATCTGGCTCCCCGTCCCTGCGGTCGCATTGATTTTGAGGGAGGTGGACGTCCAAAATAGGAGAAAGCACTTTCTTTTACTTCCCTGTGTCCTGAAAGGTGCACTAGGCAATAAATGATCAGTTCCCATGCAACTCTGTCAAAGCATGAAGCAACCTAACACACGAGTGACTCTAAAACAGCAATTAGCTGGTTTTTCATTTCCATTCTATGTCTGAGAAAATAAACAAATGCAGGTAAAACACATCACTAAAGCAATGAAGCCCTTTAAACCATTAAACACTCCGTTATCTCTCACTGCTACTGCACCTCAGAACGCCAAAGCACAACGCTGCCAAGGGTGGCTTACACTGAGCCAACTAATAATGTTAACATTCACCACAGTGCTGCTCGCTCTCACTGAAAAGGCAAAAGTTATTGAGAGAAAAACAAATCCCTGCTGTCTCTCTCTCTACTTATTTTTATGCTGATGGAATGATACGCGCCGTCGTGTCTGAACCTGTGTGTGTGTGTGTGTGTATGCGTGTGAGATGTGCCAGCTGCAGTGACAATAACCATCAACGTACCGCCAGAACGTTCCTTCACGACGAGCATCATCCACACAGCTGGCAGGTACGACCGCCAATCAAATTAAATGGCCAATTACACTTCTAATGTGCCACGCAAAACGTAACCAATTACCTGCGCTGGGCCAGATGTGACCTGAAGGTGAAGCCAGATGTGAAGATGACTCAAGTTTGGTGTGTGAATGGCGAGTTATGAAAATCTGAATATCTTTTTTTATTTTTTTTAAATATCAGCAGTATAAGACAAGATGAGCTTTTAACAGCTGCTGTGGCGGCGGAACCTTCTCGGGGTCGTGTGCGAGACTGTGCTGTACCAGTGGGAGATCCTGCGCATTCTGCTGAGGGCTGACTCTTCACAGTGAAGGTACATTCTCACACTTAAACTACACCTGCTGCCACTGTAGGGAACCACTCCAAGATTAAGAAAGTTTATTTGCTGCATTCTGTGTATGGGTATTTACGGAAATGATATATGAGGCTATATATGTCAAGTGCCCTCCCCGTTACAGATGGCGTCGAAGCTGGCGAAGTCTCTGTGCACGTTTAGCACTGAGACACGCGCAGCCAGCTCTGTCTGCATTCCCCCCCACCCCCACCCAATGAAGTGAAACAAACTAAACAGCCTGTTTGTTATTCACCTCACCTATCAGAGTGAGTCTGCAAGCAAGAAGGCCAGACTGACAACCTTATCCACAGCCGACAAATAAAGCTAACCCCCATGTGTTTCCACCTTCGCTGACAAATACAGCTCTGAGGGGAGTGATGGAGCAAATTATTCTGCAGCACAAGTCTGAGCAGCCCATACTGATGAACCATGAAATTGTGATTTGTTAGAGCAACTCTGGATGGAGATTAAAATGAGTGTTTCTGGCTAACATTTATATGCACGACTGGTGACTTGCACTTTGATTAACCAGCTGGTTTACTAGTGGAATGTAGTCAATGCATGCATAAGCTATTGTTTTTTTGTTGTTGTTGTTTTTTTATCCCAGCTGGGTGATAACAGTCTGTGTTTTTTTTTGTTTTTTTTTTAAGAGAGATTAATAACATCCATGCAAAGGGGAGTTCAGGCTAAATGAAGGAGTAGGAGCTGTTAAGGAGGAAGAGCAAGGCTTTGGGAAGTGGGTTTAATTGCAGGCTAGTGTTGGGGTGGAGTCTTACCGAATCTCTGGGGCATTGCACCTGGGGCTCAGCATTCTAGAGGATGGAGGGAGGGAGGGAGGGAGGGGTGGGGGGTGGAGGGGGACAGAAGAACCAAAAGTAATCAAGTAAAAACATGTATTGACAGGAACAGTGAAAAATCTGAGCACAGAAGATACTGGTGTGGGTTGAACTTATGGATAAATGGAAGCAGCGTGATGATTAAACAGACATGCAGGACATGAAAATGATCAATCTCAGCAGACAGATGGGCGGGTATTGCTGTGTAGTGTGCACCCGGACTTTAAATATAAATTGTGGGTCAGAAAAAACGTTATCGTCTGAAAGGACAAAATGTCACAATCTTCGAAGGTGTGGGGCATACCACCCCCCTCCAGTCTGTTTCCCTCTCTCACCGGTGTCCTCTTACTGTCCAGCCGCCATAATCCACATGAGAGAAACTCACTCATGTTCATCCAGACTGCTTCCAGTCAATCACAGTGACCCAGGTGAGCTCACGGCGGTGAGCTTTATGAAGGGCGAGCTGTGCTTAGTGGACGGGTTTTGCAAAAAGAATTTGCACAGTCTGATCTGTGCAACATTCACCGATAAATAAACTGCACGCCGAATGTCTTTCCAGCTCCAGCTCTTTGAGCGGACAGCTTCTATTGAACCTGATTCTATTTGGTAAGCACTGAACTTTCAACACCTGCCCTAAGTTTTGCATCTCAGGCTATATTCAGTCTGCTAAGATCAGGGTTGAAAATAAAGCTACTGAAATAAGTTTTGCATTTGTGTTGGGAGAGTAAAGCTTTAAAGGAATCTAAGCTTAGAATCTGCACTGTTTTGTCCTTTACTGCCTCACTCCAGCCCCATCTCCTTGTGTATGAATTACTTCTATATACAAGTTAACTGCAACAGCAAATGAATTCTGTGGGAAACGTAATCACTGGATGGATTATGGCAACATTAATTTAATGTGCATACATGTGCATTAATGTGCAGTGCATTAATAATAGCACATTAGCATAACAATAACAATTTACACTGCAGTTCTGAGTCTTTTGTTAGACTGCTCTATTATCATGTTATTTCTTAGACTGATGGGCGATAAAATATGTCCAACTTAGCTAAAAGATCGTAAACATAAAGTATGTGGAACCTGTAGAAATAACCCGACAGCTGCTGACTTTATTTGTTCATTAGACTGCATTAGGTTTAATATTTAAAGCACAGTAACTGCCAGTTTTGATTTATTCTTATGTGCCATTTCCTCTTGCAATTCTGTTTTGTTTCAGCTCAATTTAATCGAGTAGTTTGTGTTTTAACTGATATATGATGTGTGCTAACTGACATGTTCTTTAGCCTGTTCCTCTCTCTCTCTCTCTCTCTGAAGCCCCAGCTTAGCCTCGCACACAACTTCACATTAAAGACTGAAGCTGCTCATTCTGTGCACTGGAGCTCATCTCCCTCGAGTCCCATTGCAGCCCTTTTTTCACATCACCCGCTCCACCCTCTGCAGCTGATAACCACACATCAAATGAACCCCACCATCATCTAACTACCAAACTACGCAGAGTCAGCTGGACTCAGAGCAGCGCTCTAATCTAAAGATGAGTATCGACCAGTGTGGCACTTCCTCTCATCCAACTTCACCCGTGGCGACAGGCAGCCAATAGCCTCGTCTGCATACCCTCGCTGTGATAATTGTCGCCAATCAGCCATTTGATTGACACCGCTTGCCAGTGAATGGCTGCTTGTGCCTCTAATGGCCCCGGTGGCTGCAGAGGGTGCTGGGAGAAACCATTTTTATGACAACGGAGGGGGGAGGGGATTTAAGGCTGTTTGGCGCTATAACTCACGTTAGTACTCGATAAAGTGTGTGTTAAAGCCAGCGAGTGGAGCTGGAGAGATAGCAGAGAATCATTGACCGTCACCGTGGAGTAAACACTAGTGTGATTTGAAGCTCGCCAGCAGCTTCCACTGTTCCATTCAAAAAAAAAAAAGAAAAGAAAAAAAAGCACTTAAGCCTCAACGTTCTGTTGCCTTGTTTTCGTCTCAGCCATTATGAGTGCACTTCTTAATAAAACAACTCTGAGGTAGCTGGAGTATAACATCTGGCATCATGTTAAAACACGACCTTGAGAAAAGCAAACTGTTATAACAAACGCACCAACTAAATTAGCACCGGTTTGCATGAATCATTTAAGTTACAAGCTGTGAGTGGCATCTGCCCACACTGAGTGACAGCAGCGGCATCCAAAAACAGCACACAAAGATTTGTGTGTCTGTTTCCACAGAGTCATATGTAAGGATGCTGCCTGATTGATATTCAAGGCGAGTGTGTTTTTCACTCTCCGCCTACTACCTGCCCTGCGTCTTTTCTGTTCATCCCCACAACCATCAATCGGGCAAGTCAGGCTAGCAGGCAGAAACACACAGCGAGAGGGAGGTGGAAGTACGGAGACAGAGGAGGTTACCTAACAAAGCTAGAGGAAGAGAGGGAGCTGGTGAATGAGGATGAAAGGGTGACAGATAAAGAGCGAAAGAGACGGAGTCCAAGTGAGAGGGTAAAGGAGATAAAGAGGAGAGATGGAGCTCTACAGGTTTCCTCTGACGCTAGCCGCAGCTTGATGACAGAGAGGATTGCAGCGGCGGAGCGGGACAATCAGTCTGCATGCTCGGCTAGCGTGTTGTGTTAGCAGGGAAATGAGAAAACAACACGGCAACTCACTGTGGCGGATTAACGGCACTCATGACAGCAAGCACAGACACACTCTGCGTGAGCACACACCCGTAATATATTCTTATCCATGCACGTGGGGGGGGGGGGGGGGGGGGGGGGGGGGTGCTGCTGTATGTATGTCATGATGTGAAACGTCTCATGCTGACAGAGATGGAGAGTTGAAGAGATGTTCTGTGGGAGTGAAGAACGTACCACTTCTCGAGGGAGGAAAGTGTCTTCCTGGCGTAGGACCAGCAGCCCTACAGCCCCGCCCATGGGTGTGGCCCTGAGCAGAGACACCACCTCCTCCTGGGTCCGCCCATTCAGGTCCACTCCATTCACCTGTACAGGACACAAAGGTAAAAAGAATCTGATTTCTTTTTCCTACTTATTGCAAAGTAGCAAACATTGATGTTTCTGTCACTTGCTAAATACAGGGATCAAATAAACATGTGGATCGAAGGATTCAAAGTTTTCTGGAATAACACTGTAGATTCAGTGTTGCACGAAATAATCCTTTATGCAAATTGTTTGAAATGTAGGATGACGCAACTTCAAAAGCCTGTTCTGTTCTTGGAGCAGAAGATAAAGTATGAAAACATGTTCTTTGATTTCCTTCCAGGACGCTGAATCTCCATCTAAAACAGTCACCTGAAATGAATTAGTTCCACTTTAAATTCAACAGACGCAGGTATTTTCAAATGGATTAAGTGTCTCTGGGATCTTAATTATGCAAGACATGCTTCCGCTAATCTTGAGATAAAACTGCTACTACTACCTAGAGGTCTATAGTCTAGAAAACACAATGCAACAACCGTAACAACACTAGATTATTACATTTATTACCATACAACAGAAGCTGCTGTGTGTAAGTATTACATCACTTTCACATTTTTCTCACCTCCAGCAACCTGTCTCCTGCCTTCAGGCGGCCATCTTGGATGGCAGCTCCCCTTGGCAGTATGTTCTTTACGTAGATGGGTGCCGAGCCCCCGATGGGAACGTCCCGTGACGTAATACTGAAGCCGAGTCCCTCGGGACCTGTGGGGCGAGGAGAGAGGAGAGGGAGAGAAAGTTCTTATGATGAAATCTGGTTTCATCTTGAGGCAAAAGCATAAGCTCCTCTATTCCCTCTACAACACTGTAGCTCAAGCTACTGCAAATAAGTTCATATTCAGCTGGCATGTCTCAAGGCTTGATGTAAGTGTATGCAATCACAGAGGTAAGAGAGACATTTTGATCAGGACTGAAGAGTTGACAAACAGCCTCAGGAAAATAAATAATTGTGCAAAGCCCCAGGGGAAATGTAAGTTGTTTTCCTAATCAACACCTCACTGTCGTTCCAGCATTGAAAACAATGACATTTTGGACCAAAAGCATTTCAATTAAATGGAATCATCTCAGTGCATCAGTGGATTCCTTCGTGAAGGTGGAATACATTTGTGTAGTCCCTTTCGCTTTCAGTTCACCAAGGTTGAACTGGTGCAAACTGACCGAGTGCAAACTGTTTTGACAGTAGGGGTCATCAATGACATACAACCTGCTGATGATTCTCTCTCGACTTTCTACTGCGACCTGGCAGTTACATCCTACGTATCTTTGGATGTTGTTGTTCTGTCTGTGCTTATTAACCATCTATGTTTACGTAATTCAGTTTGCAACCTTTTCCTGCAGCCTCTTGAGGCCGTATTATCATGAACTGTTTGGAAAACAGGCCCGTTTCTCAACCGCCATCAACAACCGGGACAGACAAACAAACAAGTTTCTATTCGTCCACAAACATACAGGACATGAAGAGAAATTGTGCATCCTGTCAGCGGAGAGCTCAAGTGGGTTTATAGTGAATAATTAAAGTAAGATATATTGTAAGGCAAGGCAGCTTAATGCTTTCAAAGTAAGATGTTGGACTATGTAATGAGTACATGCAATTACATGCTGCCAGGAAGGAGCTTCAGACTTTTAATATTTTCGCCTGATATTTAATTGAAGCCAGAATCTGAAAAACAACCTGCACTCTCTCGGGTTACGCAGGGGTTTTTTCTTCCAGCATGTCCATCTCTGTCAGCATGCAAATGATCAACACACTTAAGCCTCCACCGCCCTCCCTCCCTCCCTCCCTCCCTCCCTCCATCCCTCCTCCTCCACAAGCATTACATCTGGTCAATCCTGCAGCTCTGATCAAGTCACCACAAGTATATTGTTCAGAGGAGCTCTTTAGAGAGACCGTTCCAGATGACACTGCGTGTAAGGCTGTAAAACAAAGTCAAAATAAGAACAATGATGAGCATCCGTGCTGTATCAGAGTACTGGGGCCTAATCCTGAAGCCTGTCTGACTGAGCTGATGCAAAGAAAAAGCAGAACACTTAGCTATTCTGTTTCACATCCTCTACCCTAATCCCCTACATTGATGAGCCAATCAACTTCCCACAGGCAGACGAGGTGCGGTATTATACTCACCGGTAAATGCCTGTGGTGTTCCTGGCTTTAAACAGGGAGGAGGATCTTTAAAACTCCCATTAGCTTGATTAAGACATACCTAAGCAATTTCCTGTGCAGAATGGGATTCTTTGATTGATTTTGATACTCCGCGGGATTTGTGAGCAGACCGGTGTCTGATTCAAGCACATAAACAATGCGGGAGTTTAATCTGCGCTCAAAGCTGTGGGCTTAAGTCGGTACTCAAAACAAAACAGATGAGCCAAATGGCCTCTCGGGAATCGCTGTTAATCCCTGCAAGTGTCTGCTCCGACAACAGCAAACAAAAAGGTGGAATGAGGAAAAGATAACATCTTTGAGTGAGAACATAACAGATCCTCCTGGCAAGTCATGCATAGAACGCTGTGTTTTTCGAGGTATTATGACAAGGCAGGGAGGCGAGAGTGAGAGGAGGAAGACTATGGTCGAGGAACAAGTGGAAATAGCGACCAGCCAGGGCGGAATATGCAACAAGCAGCTGGGAGTTCTTATGTTTTATGTTCTGGCTCGATTCCAGCCGAGAGAGAGAGCAGATTCTGGGTGAAAACTTCAACGGGCATATGGTGCAGCCCTGTCAGACTCTTTGCTGTGGCATTTGACAGCACACAGGGACCAGCGGCTGCTTAGCAACAAGCTCCCTGGCCCTGAGACCTGGCACCGACACCTGGTATCCTGTTGGCATAGGTTTGCACCACCTGTGCCAGCTGTCAGTCAAAGACTACGCCGAGGAGATCTCCCCCAAACTTTTATTCCCATAGTCGCCTTTCATTCTGTGCTTCCACCTCCCACATTCTGTACAGTCCACTGTTGGCTGCTCACATCAATACAGTAAACTCTGGAGGTTTTTAAGCTTATTAAATCATCTTTCAGATTTTGCATGCCTCTGTGTTTGCACCATTTCTCAGCGAACTGTTCCTACACTTTGTTTTTTGATGTGCCACGAATGGGGAAATTGCTTGTTTATTCGGTAAGAATACAAAGTCGAGGGAAAACACAAAGATTCCCTCTTATTTTTTGAAAGCCAGAGGAATTCAAAGCACGATGTGAGACATTCACAGACCCTCTGGAAAGATTCAGCACCATGCTTCAAAAACAAAATGATGTAATACATCAAGAAAGGGACTGATATGGCTGGTTTTATTCCCCAAAATAACAACACAGTCAGAAGACTGTGGGAAAAGTTCTGTTATGGCTCCAATCAGACAGAGAAAGGCTGATAGGCAAGTGCATCGCAAGCAGCGGGATCTCCCCCGCCTTCTACATAAAGAGTGCTGTCTTAACATCACTATGTTTCCCAAATTCCTCGTCGGAATAGCTCAGGTGATCCACACTGCATCATGCACTCCATTACAAAAATCTGTGACTGTGTTACAGTGGCATGAACTCTTCCAGCTGCATCTTTTAACTGAGACACACGAAGTTTACATGATCTCCACTTCTGTGCATTTTTTTGCACTTCACCTTTCTTTAGCTGGATGTTGAGCCTCCTCCCGACTTTTTTGGTATATCCTCCCGTTGGGGTGGAGTTCAGCCCCCTCTGAGGTGAGTGCGTGTGCCCCGTCGGAGGCTTGGCCGCAGAGACCGCCGGGTGAGTCAGAGGAGGGTAGCCGTCTGTCGGGTCTGGGTGAGCGTGGGAGTGAGGGTGCGGATGGGAGTGTGGATGCGACTGGGAGCCGTGTCGGGACATCCTCTGCGGGGTGTGGTCCATGCCGGAGACGGTGCTGCCGGTCAGGGAGTCGGGGCTGAAACGGCCCGAGGCGTACGCCGGGTTCCTCTCGGCGTGGGACAGCTGCTCGTAGTGGGCCTTCATGGACGACGGCACCACGTGAAACATGATGACTGGAGAGCGCATGGCCTGACGGAACATGTTCTGGGCTCTGGGGAAGGAAGTGGCAGGACAGAGAGATTATGAAAGGCGAGAGGATGGAGAGAGAGAGAGTCAAATAAGTGACTGATTTCAGCCCTAAATATCTTCCTGAGCCATTGTTAACAATTATATGCATTCATACTTGTCTAGTGAAGCACTCCACCCCCTTCCTCCTATATATATATATATATATATATACATAAAATCCATCTTCGCCCACCTGAACATTCTGACATGTTAATTAATACTTATTGCCAGCGTGAGCAGCTCTAAAAAGACTGAACCCTCCCCGACAGCTCCATCACATAATCCCCTCGTTTGATGAAGGAGACCTCTATCCCATGGATATTTTGCAGAAAATCCTCTTTTAACCCCCCCCCCCCGGTGCGGGCTCATGTACAGTAGGTGTGAATGGAAACTTATGTTGGCTGTCAGCACCCTGTAACAGCGGAGCCTTGTTAGCGCCACCTGTTTCAATAAAGCAGACGGTGGTATGGCTCTTCCCTCGCCCTCCCCCCTCTGACAGCTGAACGGACACTGGTGGGGGGGGGGGGAATACCAGACCACAGAATTTCTTTTTGCTTGTCACACACCCCGAATGACAACTAAAAACTTACCCCCCCACCCCCACTAGAGAATTTCGTATTGAAATTCCAAGCCCACTTTTTTCCCAGCCACTAATAACCTTCCCCTGGGAGAGGACGGTCTTGTCTCGCCATCTTTTACGATTTGAGGCCGGGTCGAGTAGCAGACGAGATGTAATCTGTTCCCTTATAAAAATACCGTTAAATAGCCAGAGCAACTGTTGGTGCACTTGTAACAACACGATGTGTGGAAGCCTTATTCCCATCCATTACTTGACTAATGGCTCTCAAGGCGTGGCTGGCAGGGACACTGTAATGTGACTGGGATTACAGGCCAAACTATATACAGTCATTTTTCATGTATCCCTTGTACCATCTTTGGTTTAATTACTTAGCGTGTACCTTGATTTCTGCCTCCACCCCAGAACAATGGATCATTACGACTATTTCAATCAAAAGAAATAGTCTCTTTGAAAACTGTTGACAGCTTGTTCTTTGTACTGTGCAGAGCATTGGGACGAGAGTGATATTCCAACCGAACCAAAACTCCATTAACCTCCATTGTATTGGGGTGGCAGCAAAAGCTTCAACAAAATAAAACAAAAAAACAAAACAATTATCTATATGGCTCAATAAGACAAGAGGTAAATGATGTCATGATGTTGAAACTTGGGGTGTCGCTGAGTTTTCGTTTTACAGAGTCAGCAGTACATCTTTTCTGGTACTGTCATGCCAGTGAAGCTGTATTCAGTGACGTCACAGAAAAAAAATAGTTATTAATATGATTATTTTGTTTGGGGAGAGGATTTATTTTCAAAGCTGCTTATGTGGATTCCTTAGATATCAATCAATTCAGAATGTTTTTGAACGTCACACTATTCTGAAAGGATATATTACAAAATAAAAAAAAAAAGCATTTAGAAAAATGGGAAAGGTTTATCGAAGTAGAAGAAGGGTAAAAAAAGATTTTTCCTTTTTAGGGCCCGAGCACCGACTGGTGAAACTGAATGATTTATTTATTTTTTTTGGTTTCTCATTTATTTATTCTCTATTTGTTCCATTGAAAAGAATGATGTCACGATTGCTCATTTGTTTTGTAATTTGTGTGAACTGACCCCTTTAAAATTCCCGAGGAAGTACTTTGCGTGATAGTTATCTTACATACTGCATATCACCCATGAATTGCACCTCTGCAGGTGAAAACATACAAAACATATTTGATAAACATTTATGCAGGTAGAAGAAAACAGATCAAACACATGTATGCATCACTGCACAGTCACATTATAGGTACAGCACCAAGGCACGCATGCATCACACAGGAGCTAGAAAAGAGGGAGGGGAGTTAGCGGGCGCGTTCGGTTAGGCAGGGGAATGAAAGCATGAGACATGAACAGCGCTGAAAAGCAGAGGCTGTGAATGTTGGGGAGCCTTATTCCCATTCCTCACAGCGGAGGGACAGAGAAAGGTGTTAAAACGGGAGTCCAGTGGAGCTGTTACTGAAACACAGGGGAATACAGCAGAGGCTGCCTCAGCGATGAAGGGTACAACCTACAGGAGTTAAAGAGGGAGGTTAGCTCAGCACAGTGACAGGCATCAGAGGAGCCTGTGCACTGGCAGGAGTGCAGAGAGGAGGCACGGAGAGAGAGAGGATAACAGCAAAGGAGGAAGGGTTTAAAACTGTAGGTATAAGAAGAGGGAGGAAGCAAGGGTCCCAATCAAAGCCAGTCACACAGGAAGTCCGGGGACCGCCCGGGGAGCTCAGCAGTGGCTCAGAGCTGCTGTCTTACTGTTCAAAGCGGATGTTTCGCAGGTCTCCGTTATTGATACGGACGATACAGTCGTTCTCCTGGAAGAGGCCTTGCTGCTCGGCCTTCCCGCCCCTCTCCAGACGCTTGACCAACAAGCCAAGAGTCCTGAAAGTGTTCAAAGGTTCGTGTCAACATGATGCAAGGTGACGTCCTTGGATTCAATATGTGCTTTTTATATATGCTTTTCTGTGGAGAATACACTTTATTATCACTGTGACTTTCTTTGAACACACTTACACTCAGAGTATCTCTGCCATAAAGACTTTGTGTACTGTGTAAAGAGAATAATCTTCTTATATACCTGCCTGTGCCTAGTGATTCACCTGTCAAATACCTGAGGGATTGTAGAGTTCACCTGAAGTGTCTTTGTCATCTCAAGGGGCTGTTAAATATTTCTATTTGCCACTAATGCCCTGATGTTCACTGGGTTTTGACGCATTTTCAGTCTAGGCCTAATTGCTGCCTCTGTGGCATCACATGGTGCTTGAAGAGAGTGTACAGTGTGGTCCTGTCATTTGCATCATCAATGTACCAGTGCACGGCTTATGAGAGAAAGCAGTCACATCACATCAGGGTGCTTAAGGGGCTGTGTGGGGGTGGCATCTATTCAAAGGCAATCAACACATTCAAAAACTCCACTGTAGTTCTGCCAGGGTTGAAGCTTTACAGGTGTTAATTTTCTAACCTCTAGGTCTTCTCACTCTTTTCTAAGCAAAGAATAAACAAAGTGCTTTCAGCGAGCGACGGGGGCACCATTTAATATTTATAGCAGGCGGGTTGGAGAGAGGCTGGTCTATCGCACTGTAGCTCTTCAACTGTGTTGAGCTGCGACGGTTGTCGGCCTGTAATCCGGCGTGGCAAACCGGCTTATGCCTCCCCGCACAGCCGCGGCAAGAGGCTAACTTCACCTGAAAGGGCGCTTTGCGGATTATGGACCCCAAGTCTGAGGAAGAAAATCGACCGCAGGTAGGAAAAGCGGCATAAACCTAATCGAGTCTTCTTCGGCACACGGTCTGTGTCTGTTGTGGATCGAGGTAGTGCGAGCGAGCGTCGCCTAGGTAAATTGGCTTGATTTTAGGGTTTAGTACTCTACCCTAGCCTGCGGGTTATAATGCAGTATGAATGGGAATGTGATTACAGAGAGGGCAGAAAAGTTCAGGAGTTGAGAAAGTTCAGACAATTCCACTGATTGAATTTGAGTGAGAACACAATGCGATTTGCTGCGGAGGGGCTATTTCTCTGATGAAAGCCGGGCATCTTAATCTTGGGATAACGCCCACCCTGACATTTCCCCAATAAAAGAAAAGTGCATTATAAATGTGCTTTTAGGTTGATTAAGTCTGGCAGTGAGAACAGCAATATGATCTCGATTTTCAATAAAGCGCGACAGTCAGTTTTGTAGTCGCTGATCATATTTGTGAGTCCCGGGGCAGAGTCGTACATAAAGAAAGTTTGGACGTTTGTGGGGCTGCAGTCGGCTCTGCGCCTAGACCTAAGATCTAAAGCTGCTCTATACTGCTTAAAACAAGAAAATGAGCGTCGCACAATCAACTATACTGAACTTCACAACCTCCAAAAACTGCCTCTCTGGGTGTATTTGAACCAGATGTGAAATTCTTCTAATTCCTTCACAGCTTTGTTCCAGCTGCGTATGTGTGCTTCTGAATTGTGTTGTTGTAGGTGTGTGTGTGTGTGTGTGTGTGTGTTGTGTGCCCTGCTCTGTGTTTCCATTGAATCACGTAAAGCTGATGTGACAGCAGCCACAGAGAATTATGACGGTCGCCTGCAAACCCTAAACAAGCGTGATTGATCACTGTAAACTGGCAAATGGCTTCATGATGACATGCAAACCTGTGTGTGTCTGACTGTTTGTGTGTGTGTGTGATGAAGTGATTACACATGGGCACCACCAAGGCGGAATGTCCGCTATGCATTTTTGTGTGTGTGTGTGTGTGTGTGTGTGTGTGTGTCTCATGTGATGCAGCACACTTCTCTCTAGGGTTTTTTCAGATCTCAAAAAGCCCAAATTACCATATTTAAAGACATTTCAGCAAAGACATTAACAACAAAAGTGAATTTATTTTTACGAGTCTACAATAAGGCTGACAGGTCAACTAAATGGCGTAAGTAGGCAATTTTCTTCCTTTTAAAAGTCTAAAAGCTGTAAGGTGTGTAGCACTTGTTCGCTCCAGTGAACAAAACCAACTAAATCTAAAGGTGAAAAAGAAAAAAAACAAAAAGTCATGACTATATTGGCAAAACTGCTCTCTCTCCAATTAAACACAGTTAGCTAAAGTGCAGAACTGTACATGGACTAAGTAGGGAAAATGATAACAGGGATTGTTTTCAATAAATTGCATGTAGTTAAAACAAAACCTTTATTTCTATAATGATCTTTTCCATTTTGTGCTACTAACCCTGGTCTGTGCAAATCTAAGCACAAAAAGTATCTAATTTTAATCCGAACAGTGTTTCAGCTCTTTTTTTTTTAAAACCCCTTCATGTCCTTTTGTTGATGTATTAAATCCCTGTGGACACCGTGTCTGCCTGTTCCTCTCCTTCACTCTCTTCCAGCCTGCCTGAGCAGCACCGTGGCTCTGCTCCGGATATTTTTACCTGCGGTCCCTGCCACTGAAAGGCACCACGTGGATTCCCAGGGGCCCGCCATCGTTTGACACCTCCACCAGTTTGACTATGTCTCTGGGAGACGGTGATGGATGGTAGACAGGAGAGAGAGAGAGGTGGGTGGGTAGGTGGGTGGGTGGGTGGGTGAGGGGAATGGGAGTGGAGAGGAGAGGAGAGGAGAGGGGTGACACCATGTGGGCAAAAACAAAAACAGGAAGTAAGATGATGATGAAAGGAAAAAAGGATGATGACAACAACAACAACAACAACAACAACAGCAACAACAGTGGTGTAAATAAATAAATAAAAATAGAAAGCAAGGAGGTTCTGGAGGAGACATTCAACAAAGACGATAAAAATAGAGCAATCCAAATAAATCAAACACACGTAAGGGATAACAAGGAAGACAGAAGGTTTTAAAAAAGTCTTCACACACAATTCAGACGTAAGACTATCTATAAAAGGAGGTGACGAGAGAGCAGCTTGTCAAAACGCTACATATCTTTTTTTTTTTTTTTTTTGGGGGGGGGGGGGGGGGGTGTAAAACCTCCCAGAAGCTAACTCATAAATATTAAAATGAAACCTCCAATCCTCAAGAGTTCAAGACACTTAATCATACATTTGAAATGTAATTTTTTTTAAGTGTCACATTTTCGGAGGATCTTCGGTGTATTTTCACAGTACGACATTTGCAGCTGAAACAAACCGCGAGTCAAAACATCAAACACCACTGACTCACGTCTGGGGAATAAAATGCAAAGCCTGCACCTTCGCCTTGTTAAACTCAGCTGCCACAGTGCTGCTTTTATGTGGAAAACCTTGCTCTATATTTTTTTTTTGTGTTGTGTTGCAACAATGTGTGGCTAACTGGCTAACCACTGCCCGCGATGAGAAATTAGCTGAAAGTCACTCGCGGCGCGCTGTGTGTTTTAGCTGCAAATGTCAACAAGTAGAGAGGATGCTTCATTTTATTATCTGGAAACAGATTAAGGCTGTTGACGTGCAAACTGCTCTGCACAGCTGAAAAACAGCACAGGCTTAATGAAAGTGGGAAAAGAAAAATCCAAACTTCATCTTCCACACAGACAGATGTATTTCCCATGAAGCCCTGGGCTGTAAACCCTTTTATTGCTTTTATATAGGGATGAATATTCTTGATGTGATCCTTTGACCCTTTAAAAGCACAAAACGCAGTTACAGCTATTTGTGTTCTTCACTTGTCAGCCTGTTTGGCTGTTAAACATCTACACACAGGCACATTTTTACAAGACGCCAAATCTAATCACTTCACAGCTTTGATACAATGACTATGATTAGCTCGGGGAAAATGGGCCCCTTGTTGACAACTAAGAGGCGGGACACGCCGGATTCTCTGGGAAATCATAGGAATAATAACAATACCATACCTGCATATTAAACTGGAAGCATGCAACAGAGCAAAAAAAGCAAAAAACAAAAAAACAAAACAAAACACAGTTGTTAATAAAAGGAGCTGAATGGGTTAGTGTGTGGGAGAAGCTCTGATGGCGAGACCAGGATCATTTTTGCTCGCACAAAAGAGAATTATGCAAATCAGGCTGCACCATTGAAATGAGATTTTCTACAAACAAACCTGGGTTTGCAACTTTAAAGACAAACTCTAGTTTCATACAACTTGAATGTTATTCTTTATAGTTTCGGCCGTGATTGCTGTTGGTAATAATCATGCTTATTAAGCTAATTGCTGAGATATTCGAACAAGGCAACATCACTATTGGAGGATGATCATTTTGTTGAGTGCAGTGTCATCATTCCTGACAGAAATGATGGACAAAAATACAAAAAGCGCCTGAGTTTTAACCCAGAATTTTTTTTTTTTTAGGGTTATGTACGTGAGGCCACAGCAAAAAAAAATTAAAAAAAGGGTTTCATTTTCATGTCTCTCTCCATTTGGAAAAAGCTGTCAAATTGAGATTTTTAGCACATTATGTCCAAAAACACAGATAGTTCATGTTCAATAGTGCAACTATTTGATAATCAAAAGCCCTAAAGCTGAATGATCCTCAGGTGAGTGTCATTGTGAGAGAAGAGGTGTCACTTTTCCCCAAATGGTGAATATCAGCAGTGTGATCAACATTCACTCCCAGTGTTAGTAGCTTATCAAGTTTTGGCCTCTTTTTTTTATTTATTTATTTTTTATTAAGCAATGATAGTGACCAACTTACTCTAGTGACCTCACAGGGGCGTGGTCCATGCAGGAGTCGGCTCGTCCGACCGGCTCGATCCGACCGTTTTCTTCCTCTCTGGCCTCTTCCTCCTGGAGCAGAACACACACACACACACACACACACAGAAGTGGAATAAGATTGTCATCTGCGATCAGTATTCCTGTTCATGATCGGGATGAAGTGCGTGAGGAGTTCATATGAAGGGGAATCGTGACCTCTGCTGCCATCATCCCTTTCACATTAGAGGAGATTACACCACAGTGAAAAAACACAATTAATCCCTGGTACAAAAGATGACCAGGTAAATTTCGCCGTGCTGCCACCAGGTGACAAATTCAACAAGATTCAACAAAAACACACTTCACACAGGATAATGTGACCAGCTGTTGCTCCCTGAACTCATTTTTGCTGCTGACACCTCAGAGTCTGCAGCATTAAGCCATTTCCATGTTGTAGTGTAGTCTGATCCTGGTCTTCCAGCTTCTTTCTTGACTTCCTGTTCAGTGTCGACGCAGTTAAAGAGCAAAAAAGCTTTAAACACAAAGCACTGTTCACCAGCTGAGAAGCATAGGCTGAGCTGCTGACCTGCCGAAGCCAGGAGGAACAGACTGGAGGAGGTTTTCCACAGGTATAAAAATACATGCCCTTTAGAAATTCTGATGTCTTCCAAATTACACAGCCTTTGTTCTCCTCTTGTATTAACTCTAGATACTTGGTGCATGTCTGTTTGGATACTGAAGCTGGGACTCACGACATATACACACACTCACACACACACACTCTCACACACACAGATAGAGAACAAAGAGCAAAGAGGAGAAAAACGAGAAGCAGAGAAAGAAGGTCATTAAAATTTCAGGGCGACATCGGAGAGGAGAGACGAGCGAGGAGCAGCAGCGCAGGGGCCTCCCCGGCAACCGGCCACCTCATCAGTATGAAAATGAGCCTGCCGTCACCGTAGCTGCCATACGGTTGCCATGACACTTTGGGTGCCTGGAGGACGTACAGCTACAAGGGCAGTGTATGAGTGTGTGCATGTGCGTGAAAGGACTTGTGACTGCCGTCTTTTAATTTAGCAGTCATCTCCTGCTAGCTGAAAAGTGCAGACTGTGACAGCGAGAACAGCTTTTCCTGACAGACACGTGAGGCAGAGTGTGAGACAGGTAGATATGTGTGTGTGTGTGTGTGTAAGTGTAAGTGTAAACCATAACAACTTAAACAACTGTCAGCGATGTTCTCAAGGTGACAAAAAACAGGGACTTATCTATGGTTGAAGGTATGAAACTTTATGCAAGTGATCAATAACATTTTGGTCACTGTGGTATTATAGCATATGGATATGGATATTTACTGGGAAGTCTTGGTTTGGGAAATGTTGGAAACAGATGTTCACATACTAACATGTTAGATTAAGAAACACTCATTTATTAAAGCTGGTCTATGCAGTAACTCTTTGACGTCAATGGACAAAAATGACATAATTCACCTTTCAACACTCCTGGCTCTGTTTTTAGACTAAAATCCAGCCTGTGACAGGAGACTCTGGCCAATCACAGGTCATTTCAGAGAGAGAGAGAGAGAGAGAGAGACAGAGAGAGACAGAGAGAGAGAGAGAGAGAGAGAGAGAGAGAGAGAGAGCCTTCCTATTGGCTGCTACAAACGCAGATGTGTGTGCACGTCCCTTCAGATGGACATGTGTTGATATCGCTGAAGCATTTCAGAGATGGAAAGAACTTGCTGTCCTTCTCGCAGACAGGTAACAGGCTGCTAATTTGATTTTCCTGTCATATCTTGTGTTGCAGTCATTTTGGCCCCTCCTGCTCTCACTCCACATGTCTTTATACAAAACATGGCCAAACAAGCTGAATAATAATTTGCAACTCACAGGTCTTTCAAGAGGTTATGAAGTGGATGAGACTAAAAATGTTGGGCACTGAACTTCCTGCATCACCAAAGGAAGAATATTTAACTGTTCTGCCTCGATCTCCTGACTGAACCTAAAAGTATAAGCATGTGTGGGGGACGGTCAAGAAGGCAGTATGTTTCTTAAAAGGATTTCTCGGCTCATTGGACAGCAGCGCTGTGTTCAAAGACTTTTTACAGCATCATAAAGAACTTGAGCACGTTTATTCACAGAACATTCCCAAAATGGGTCTTCTTACATTGCCAAGAATGTGCTGTGCTATATGGTGCAAGCCTATGATGTATTTACTAGAACTGCATAGATACTTCTCTGTTGAATGTATGGAAGATTCACACAATTCAGTCAGTAAAATCGGAGCAAGATCAAGAGACTGTCCAGCACACAGAGACAATATCAAGTCAGAGAGCCTCAGAAACACATCTAACACTATTCAATATTCATCCGGAGATGAGAAAGGGAGACAGGGGGGGGGCATCAGAGAGGGCGCTATGTGAGAGGGAGCAAATGAGATCGGCATTCATCACAGAGCACACAGGCATCTCACAGACCCTTTATTTCAATATGCAACATCTCTGAAGAAGCTGCCAGAATGCTGACAATTCCATTCTAAACTCAGACATAGACGCTGTGTGTGTGTGTGTGTGTGTGTGTGTGTGTGTGTGTGTGTGTGTGTGTATGTGTCAACATGCAAGACAAGAGGGTAAGAATGAAAAGAGAAAGATAACAGAGGAGAAAGTTGAAGCAACAAGTGATGGCGATGGAAGTAAGATCAGAGAAACAAACAGACTGAATAAAGTGCATGGTATTTTCAGCAGCTGCCATGTCTCAATATATCCAATCGATTATTGGTAGAATATAATTCCAACAGGCCAATGAAAGATTAGCCTACATCTAATGCAGTGGTTTTGTTTTGTTTTTTCTCAATCTCCCACACAACCTGTTGCTTCGTGTCCAAAGACAGAAACTATCTAGAGTTCTTCTCATGTAGGAGCTGTTCTGGAGCTTTCAGTCAAATTGCATGATCTTCTTCAGAAGATGGAGCTGTCTAACTGTCATGAAAGTACAGAGTGAAATTGCTTTCGGATCACCTTCAGGACTGCTTATCCATGTTCGCTTCAAAAAGACAAGAAGTCCTTTAAGCATAAATAAATACAAACTGACTAAAATAGTCAAATTTTCATCACACATGACGCAGGACACGATTAAAAGCTTCACAAATACTACCAAATGGATCTTGTGGTGAGAAACTGCTGTTTCCAAGGTTGGGAATCAAGTTTGACCCTCAGCCGATGGAGGAGAGTTTTCAATCTGTGTCTCATTTTTTCCACAATCTGCTTCTAAAAGAACGGCAGCCTGCTGCTAATTTGTGCTGTAAAATAATCCCGCTTTTGCTTCGAAACAACACGTCGCGCTCACCCGAGCAGTTTGACTGACAGCTGAACCAATCAGCTTTTACTTCACCACCAAAAAAAATAAATAAACAAAAAAAATCCAGCATGAGGCACTCAGGATGGCATCGCCACACTTTCCCCGACCACACCATCCAGACGTCGCCCATTCCCGTTGCTGGGAGTGGGCCGGACAAAGCAAAGAGACAGCGAGCCGCATTAATAATTCAGCACAGAGTTGGGGGGTTAATGGCTGGCAGGCAGACGGGCGGGCAGGTATGATGATGAGCGGCCGACGTGTTTTTCAGCCGAGTCATTGTTTGTTTCCTGGATGTGGAGAAAAGGGGCAGGCGGGCAGTTTTCAGGCCCGGGGGCTCATTAAAGATTAATAGGAGAATCCATTGGGGCCTGTCCTTTCTATCTCTCAGACCAAATGAAGTGGTCTGCGCCTGGTGTGTATGTATGGGAGAGAGAGCGACTGGAGTAATGCTGCACTTTAATGAAGTGCCGCCCGCTCCCCTTTCCTGCCACTTTGACCGCACTGTCACTGACGAACTGATGCGGATGCCTGAGTACAGACACACAGGCAGGGGAGCAGAGGAGTGAGGTTTATTTAGAGGAATTTAGAGGTTTAACTTCCTTAAGTCCTTGCAAAAAAAATCTTGAGAGACAAAATTCAAACATTTTGATGCTGAAAAAATCTTAAATGAGACCGTCTGAATAAATGTTTAAAATCAGTGAAATACAGAAACAGCACAGACATCATTAAAACTTTAAAATCCATATGTGTTTAAACTGTGAATGGTTTTTGATCATTTTTGACAGGAAGTTATTCAAACTGATGCAGTGGTGAGAAACAGTGACTCTCCTCAAGTTAAGTGAGGGCAAAGTTAAAAAACAAACAAACATCACAACAAGTGATCCATCTCTCATCATGTAGAAAACACAAACAAGTCAACAACTGGCAGGTTTGTCAAGTTTAGCAAGTGTTTTTCCAAATAAACAGCAGATGGAAATCTTAATCTTTACTGGGTTTTTCCCTAATGATGGACTTCAGCTTAAATGAGGAGGTTTTTATATCTACCCAGGTCAGCTATGTACAAGACGTTTGGTGCTACCTGCTGTGTATCGGCCCTCAGTGCTTTTTGGGTACCAACTGAAACATGTCCACACGACTGCATACAAAAAGAAGCCTTTTCTTAGTAGCCTTGGGCCAATATTTGATAATATCGAATTCAATGGGACTCCCTGGAGGCTCACCTGGTGGAGCGCGTACCATCAAGGCTTAGTCCTAACTGCAGCGGCCCCGGTTCCAGTCCCAACCTGTGGCCCTTTCCTGCATGTCATCCCCTCCCTCCCTCTCTCACACTGACTTTCCTATCTCTCGTTCTCTCTCACTGTGGTTATCCAAATAAAGGCAGAAATGCCCCAAAAAATAACAAAAAAAAAAAAAAGAAGAAGCACCAACAGCTGTCATAACCTTCTGGTCAGATTTATAGTCTTGTTTACAAGTTGGGGCTTCTTTAGTTAAAAAATGAGTTTGTAAAAAAAAATCTTTACATTCCTCAGGAGGTATTGGTACCAAATCTCAACAATGGCCAGACGTACGTTTGCATGCAACCCGCCAAACAACTCATTCCTTTCTCTCTGAAAAACACCGTGAAGACTAAATAACACATGTTGAACTTAAATACACGTAACACTCACACACGGACAGACTCGCTCACACAGATACACACACACACACACACACACACATCCATCATTGTTAACTGGT